CCAGCTAATGTCTAGCCGCTGCTACTTAATTTGTCTGCTGAAACCAACTGGCCTTCACTCGGCTGAGAACTAGACTAGCTGGGCAGCTTCACAGAAAGAAAGTCATCTTTGAGGCATCCAGGCTAATTTGCCTTCACTTTAGTGCTGCTAACAATGTGTATCCATATTTTTATATGAATCTTGAAAAACACAACAATATTATTTATATTTTGTTCATAATCTTTCACTAAATACATAAGCCCATCTTCTGACAGTCAGAGATCATGGCACCCGAGGCAGTTGAGCACGTGGGTCTACAGAGATTTCCAAGGCACAAGTGGAAAAGGTGTTTGGGGCCATGTGCTTCTGGCCAGATCACAAACTCTGAGGCTGGAGACACCACCTAGGAGGAATATCCAGCTGCTGCAGGCCCTGCATACTTAGGTCTCTCCAGCACACCACCAATCTCCAAATCCCAGCAGGAACTGGGGAGATGCTTCCTGTATTCTGCACATTAGGTGTGAGCCCTGTTCCTGCACACTACAGACGTGACCACTGAGACGACTGAGCACTGCAGTGTGCCCTGGGCTGTCAGCTGGGGTCTGCACCTGGTGGCCCACACCCTCAAAGGTGATGCAGAGAGCCTCCATGTTCAAAGAGCATCTATCCTCCAGACTCCCTCCCTCCATGGTAGATGGCCAGGGCACAGGGAGGGAACCGGCTCAGTTGACAACTCCACACAGCACTGCAAACAGAACCAGAGTCCATGATTCCTCGTTGTCAGCAAAGTCAAGGTGGCCATGGAGGGGCCTATCCAAAAGGAGGTAATACTCCCCATGGCCTCCAAGAGTCATGGTGGGGAAGGAAGAGGCAGCAGGTGCCCGCCCAGCGCTCCTGGGGCCTCGCCCCTTCTCACCAGGCTGGTCCTGAGGCTGAGCCAAGCAGACACCAAGACCACAGAGCCACAGACTCAGCTCCTTAGACAACCAAGCGCCAGCCCAACGGCCACCTCTCCAGTCAACTCCCAAGGATGCCATGCAGGGTGCGTCAGTGAAGGGGAGTTCCTTCTCTGTAGGACACTACTGTGACAGTTGGTTTATAATATTCTGGGCTCTGAGCCACTTGGGGCAAAAGGGCACCCCAGTATGTAAGAGTGGTCACCTGGGCTCCCAAACATACTGAGTTACGATGGGCAGTGTGAAGATGGTGGGAATGCAAGGCCACAGGCTCCCCTTCCAAAGACCCTCTGAGCACGCCCTTGGTAGGAAACTGTGTCATGTTTGGTGCTTGAAGTCAGAGGAAAAGGAAGGATTTATGGTTCGGAAAACACCTGTGCTTACTCCTCCACAGCATCAACTCCATCCTGCCATGAAGCTTGGGCAGGAGGATTTGAGAAAAGGACTGAGGGAAGTCCTAGCGCCAGGGGTCAGGACATGATCTGGAGGCCTCGGCTACTCAGGAGCCCTGTCCTCAGGATCTAAGGGCTTCCACCCTCCCCGGTCCCTCACTCAGCAGTGCTGTGATTCTGCAAGTCAGCCGTCATCTGTGGGCGTCCACACCCCCAGGAAAAGAACAGGAGGCCCAGCCCGTCCCCAGGCCACCTCACTGGGCTGCTGTCAGATCTCAGGAGATGAGGCCCCATGATCTACACCAGCTGTGAAGGACCAGACTCGGGTGAGATGGAAAAGCAAACCCGTTCTCCACTGCCCTGGAGCCACCCACGCCTCGCTCTGGGTCCCCAACCCCCAAGGGTCTCCCTCAGTCCTTTTATACTTAGTGGACAGGCAGAGCGCCTCTGAAGGACCTGCCTTCCTCTCCAGGCATCTCTGCACATGGTTATTTTGGGCCCCAAACCTACTCTGTGTCAGCAGTCGACAGTCAACATGGAACACAGCAGTAGGGAGAGGAGGGAAGGAGCCACACGACCTGCCAGGGCCTCGTGGCTCTAGCAGGGATCTCAGCCCAGGCATCACCTATTACTCACTCGGCCCTGGTGACCGTCGCACGTCTCCTCTGCATAAAGGCACTGCCCACACAGTCCCTCTGAGTGTGTTAGGTCCACCCTGAACCCCAGGACCACCCTGAAGCCCAGCTCTGGTGCAGCTGGAGCAGCTGGGCAGCTTGTGAATGGTGGGATCAATCTTTTGACTTTGCACCAAGCAGCGATTTCTCCTTGAATTAGAAATTTTTTCAGCCCAGGTAAAATGAACCTGATGGGCATGTCCTCCAGGAAAAGCTTCTAACTTCTGCACGAGTGTCTCCTAGGCTTGATTTGGTGCCTTTGAATGGAGCAGTTTTCCATTCCACATTCTATCTTCTCCAGAGAACTGAAGACCCAAGAAACACTGCAGCACATGACCTGCCCCATGGTGCTTTCTTCCTCGAGTGCTGGGTAGACACACGGCCAGTGAAAACAGTCTGCACCCTGATCACTCACTGCTTAGGAAAACTGCACAAAAAGGAGGAGGGACTTCCCTGGTGGCATTCACCTGGACAGCCCCCCAGGTGCAGATTCCTGCTGGGAGTGGGGACCAGGGTGTGGTGTGAGGAGCTGCTTCTCCAGGTAAATGTCTAAGGCCTGCTCCACACATGGGCACTGAGCTGATTCATAGCTACGACAGAAACCGTCCTCTTAGAGATTATTTCTCTACTGCTGGACTTAAGATTCTCAAAACACACCATCCCACCCATGTTGGGTACTGAAGATACACAGAAGTTTCTAGAAGTTTTACTGATCCCACCTGCTCTGACCCCACTCCCTGCCCATGGCAGCCCCCTCCCTAGTCTCCAGCGTACTCCTCATTGCAGAATGGACCCCTCTTCTCCCCTCTCACGACCTCTATTCAGGCAGGGAGTTAGATGATAGGAAAGGGCTCTGGAAACACAGTGAGTTAATCCACTGGGACACCCACCGATTCCACTTTCCCATCCCACTTCCCTGCACAAGGTGTGAACACACTCGGCACCCACCAAAGTGTGTCCTCAGGAAGGGCACCTAGGACCCAGGCACAGAGGTGTCCCCTAGCCCTCTGATCAGTCACTGCCTGAGGAGGGCAGTCTGAAGTCCCCTAAGGACATGGACTCCTAGTGCAGCATCTCTCTCTCTGCTGTGTCCCATGACCACTCTTGAACCTAGACATGGGACCAGTCCCTGGATGGTGGGGACTGTCAGTGCCTTGCAGGGTGGGGCTGTGCCTGTCACAAAGGGCCTTCCATCATGGAATCTGAGGAGAGAACTGTGGGAGGCCCTCTGGCAAGGGTCAGTCACTGGTTGGCCAGTGAGTAGCTAGGACTGTCCAAAGACATGACTAAGAAGCTTCCTCCCGTGGATAAAGCTCGACGCCCGCGCCCCCCTCGGGCGCCCCCACCCTCCAGCCCCATCACCCGCCTCCCTCCCCTGACCCGCCAGGCTGCCAGCCCTCAGCCTGCTCTCCAGCTCAAGCCCTCCCCTTCTGGCCTCTGCCCCACCACTTTCCCTCCTCTGCCTTACATGGTCCCTTCCCAACACCCTGCCTTGAGGGGCCCAGTGCCCAGCTCTTCCTCTCTTGCTCCCAGACCACCCACTCGCCTCCCCCCTGTTCATCTGGCTCGCCTTTCCCGTCACTCCCCCATCTTTACCCCCTCTCCTCCCAGATCTCCCTTCTAAGTCTCCATAATCCAGTCCCACCCACAATCCAGCCTCCCCAACCAGGCAGCATGGTTGACACACTCACCCAGGGGAGACGGTCTCCCTACTGTGGGAGGTCACAGTCCCTGGGGCTGTCTTCCCAGCAGCCTGAGCAGGTGGACCCAGGGGACACAGAAGGATGACAGCCCCACACTCAGCCTGGAGCATTTCTGAGGTCAGTTGCCAGACCCCTGGCTCCCCGACCAGATCCTGGCTGTCCTACCGCTGTCTGTGCTCTCCCTCACTCTGTCTTAGCACCATGGCAGAAAGAGCTTCAGCAGGGTCCTTTTTCCAGAGTCCTTCCTTCCCTCTCCTGCTGAGCAGCCAGCTGCAGGAGCCTACAGGAGCAGCAGGCATGAGGTCAGCAGTCACCCAGGACCCTGTGGAAGCCTCCACACAGCCAGCGTGTCCAAACTGTGGTCCCTGCCCTAAGCCATCCTGGACACTCCATCTCACAAATGCGTGAATGGACCAAGGAGAAGGTCCCCAGTGGGGAGAGCACAGGCTGTAGAGTCAGGGTGAGGTGCTCACGGGGCCAGGGGGCCTCCCTCTCTGGGTGAGGCACTTTGGGCTCTTTTAAAGTGAACTGTTGCATAAGGTGCCCAGTGGGGTGAATCCAGACACAGAATGGAGAGGTGGTGGCCAGGGCTGGAGGAGGGGACAGGCTGGCCAGCTCAGAGTGTGAAGCAGCTCTGGAGGTGGGCTGCACAGGGTGTGAACACACTCGTCACCACTCAAGTGTGTGCTCAGGAAATTTCCCACCATGTATACCTTACCACAGTTAAAAACACTAAAGTCCCAGGAACTTCAATAGGGAAAGGGTGGTTCTGTCTATAACCACACTGGACAAAACGTGTTCTCAAATGGAAACTTCGGGGGGGGGGGGGGGGGGGGGTGAGTTTGTTTGTGTGTGTGTGTGTGTGTGTGAGTGAGCTAGCCATAGGTCTTGATTCTGGGCATCTGCTTCAAAGTGGGAGAGCTTCCTGACTCCTCCCCAAATGTTTTTTAGGAAATGACTGGCCAAGGTGAGGTCCAGCCTTCTGTCCAATACCTGGGCCTGCCACTGGACCTGGAGCCCTTCCCTGATGATGTCCAAGGGCAGCTCTAGTACCCAGGTTCTGATCTGAGAAGATGGGACAGGTGAGTCCAGTGCTTGCTTGGGGCCCTAAGAGGAGGGAGCAGGGGGAAGTGGGTGGAGTTGGGAGACTGAGCTACCCAGGGGAGGTCCAGGACTGAAGACTGGAGCATTCCAACCAGGACTCTGTTGCCAGGAGACGGCTTGGGACAATGTTGCCTGGAGACGGCAGAAGATCTGGCACTGCCCTATCCAGAGGGCACTTAGAGAGCCCCACAGCACCAGCGTGGCCAGGCCATGGCTGGACACCAGAGGGAGAGGGTGATCCAGGACGAGGTTCATCAGAACCAGTTCCTGCGGGAACAGTACCTGCGAGAGCTGCGCACACAGAAGCTCTGCACAGAGTACCACGTGAATCCCCTGCGCAAGGGTGAGGACTCGGGGGACAGACACGGGCCACCGTGGGGAGGGTTGTGGGCACACAGGCAGCAGGGAGAGGCCTGCCTTGGTCTCTAGTGTCCAGGAAGGATGGATGCCAGGGCCGCCCGGCCTCCTGAGACACATCAGGTGCATTGAAATGCATCCACCTCAAGATGAGATCAAACGTTCTGCATGTAAGCAGTACAGTTTGGTTATTTTGGGTTTGGTTCTCTTTGTGTGTGGTTTTATGTATGTGTGTGTGTGGTTGTAAGTGTGTGAATGTGTGTGTCTGTGTGTGTGCAAGAGTGTGTTTACCATGGATTGAATTCAGGGGCACTCAGCCACATCCCTAGTCCTTTTTATTTTCCATTTTGAGACAGCCTGGCCAAGTTACTGAGGCTGCCTTCAGAACTTATGACACTCCTTCCTTAGCCCCACAAGCCTCTGGAGTTACAGGTTGTGTACCACTGCAGCAGCTAGGAGTTGCTTCTAATAATTTTCCTTTTGAAGTAACTGCATTTTGCAGGGGTTTTCGCTTTAATTTTTGTTTATATTTTGGTTTCATTTCTTATTCTAAAGGGATTTTAGGATTTTAATATCATCATAGCCCTTTCTTTGGAAAGGTCAGGAGAGTGGGCTCTGGTCAGTGTTCCCTGTCATCCAGGTAAAAGCACCCTCCCCTCCACTCCTCTCACCCTGCACACTCCGGTGAGATCCATCTCATCCTGCAGAATCAGCAGCCCCTAAAGGACACTGGGCCTCAGATGAGCCCCAGATCCTCCATCTGATGACCTCCTGGCTAACCTCCCTTGGACTCACCATTAGGGACCTCAGACTGGCCCCCTGGAAAGCTAGGGGCCCTGAATCCCTTGCCCACCCTTTGCTTCTCCAGAAGACCCTGTGGCAGCACAAGGCAGCTGGGCCCATCCCTCCCAGGTGAGAAGCCTGAGTCAGCCCCGGCCTCCATCCATCAGTCCACACACCTGGCAGTCACAGAAGCAGAATATCTGCTGCTTCACATTTCTCCTGACCCTTGTCTGTTCCTACCTCAGGGAAAGACTCATGGTACACTGGGGGTGTACCCACCTCTCACTTAATTCCACCCTCTGGACAGCGACTGGACCTGCCCCTTTCCAGCCTCACTCCCCAGCCCCAGCAGGGCCATCCTCATTCCTGCCTGCCTCTCTGCTGGGCTCCCAGCTACACTCCTTCCCTCCAAACCAGCCACCCCAACCCATATCCTAGGGACTGCTGGCTTAGAGCTACCCTAAGAGGCCAGTTTGGTTACGTCCATCCCTCTGCTGAAGACTTGTGTGGCCTCTGCTACTTCTGAGCTACCTTAAAACAGCCAGTGCTTCCACCCCTTTGGAATTAGCTCTGATTCCTCCCTAGCTTCATCCCCAACTGCCCTCCTCCAATCCACCCAAGTTCCTGCTCCCCGTGGCTGCTAGGCTCCCGACCAGGATCCTCTCTCCTCCACCTCTGAACACTCATGCCACAGCCCCCATGGTAACTGCCCACCTGCTCCTCCTCCCTGAGCCCCCCACTCTGGGCCTCTGTAACCAGCACCCCTGCAGCCTGGCTGTCTTCAGGACACTCAGTGACTTCATTCTGCTTAGAATTCTTCTAGTTGTCTTCTGGAGTCCCCACCACTGATTTCAGGAGAAAAGTAAAGTTTGGTCCATCCCAACAAGCTAAATAATCCCTCAGGCCACATCCATTCTGGGAAAAGTGATTTCCTCCAGTTCTTTCCCTTGGGCACAGGATTAATGTGGCCATTGTGGTGAAGTGAGAAAATACTGTAGCTTGCATTTCTGTTTACTTGTACTACAAAGAAAAATGCTTTTCTAATATGCAGATAATTTTACATAAAGATGACATATACATTTCATATCTTAGGGGTGCATGCTCAGAAGACTTTTTACTCCTGGGCATGGTGACACACACCTGTATTCTGGCAACTTGGGACAGGGAGATTGCAAGTTTAAAGATGACCTCAACAGAGACTGATCTCAAAATAAAAGTAAACAGGGCTGGATTAGGGTTAGGGTGAGGGTTAGCTCACTGCAATAAATAAATGAGTGAATGAATAAACAAACATAAATCCTAGTATCCTGTGGCTTGTTGCCACTGACCTGGACAGTGCCAGGCCAGACCCTAGGTCCTCGAGGGCTGTGGGACCTTGTTCCCAGCACCCAGCCAGAACCCCCCAGGCCCAGGCACTCCATGGGTGCAGAATGGGAGTCTGGTCTAGGGTGAGTGGCAGGAGGGCAGGGGTTGTGCTCTGACCTGTGCTGTGTCCCTGCTCTTCTCCAGTTCACGCAATCACCAGGAAGCCCATGTCGTGGCATGATAACTTGGAGGAACCTGAAGATGGTAAGTCCTGGGGTCGGAGACTGCGTGAGGTGGGGCAGAGAGAGGCAGGGGGCTCAGAGAACTCGCAGGCAGAGTCACTGCAGGGAAACCTCAGGATCCTCTGCTGTGGTCTCGAGACTGGACTCTACTGACCAGGCTCAGAGAGACTGATGTGCAAACACATGCCAACTCATTACTGTCATCCACAAGAGTCCCGATGGCCTGAAAAGAGGAGTCATTCATTCACAAATGTTCAGACGTTACTCACACGGGTTCTGAAGGCCTAGGAACTGGATTCACATCCTGGTGCTGCCGCTCCTTAACTGTGGGCTTCAGTCAGGTTGTTGACCTCTCAGCCCACTTCTTAAGAGTTGTTGGAAGGACCAAGCAAAATACCACAGGTGCTTAGAGCTGAACCCGCCTCACCATGCTCAGTAAACACAGTCTTGTTCATGTTTCCACTTTACCTGGTGACAGGCAGTAGGGTGGGCCCAGGGGTCTTAGCACAATGAGGCAGAGGCAAGAGGGCAGCCTGTAAGTGCCTCCACCAGTTTGTGGAGTGGGATCATGGGCGACAGCATGGAAAACAGGTGCCTCCATCAGGCAGGGGATGTGGGACTGTTGGGGCAGGTGGGCACAGATGGTCCAGGGTGTCAGGCGGGAGGCTGTGGAAGGACCCCGCATGATAGAGAGGTGCAAGAGGGCAGCACCCACATGTTCTGAGAATAGAGGAGTTGACCTCTGTTCCTGCCTGCCCTGGACTCCCCGGGGACCCATGTCTGTCACAGCCCTGCCCCAGGGTCCAGAACAGTGCCTGGCACAGTTTGAACTGGAAACATTTGCTGACACATGGCTGAGAACCAGATGCCCCTGTCTCAGACCCTGGCTCTGCACACAGAATTCTGTGACCCTGGAGTGGTGTGGCCAGGAAAAGGACACGGGCAGCTTCTAACTTGAGCCTCCTCTCCCAGTCAGGTTTCTGAATCTCGTTCACCATGCTGCTCAGAGACCCCGGAAGAAGTACCCAGAGACACAGACGGAAAGTCAGGAGATCGGCTGGGAGGCAGAGCCCTTGGTAAGTGAGGCCCCTGCTCCGGGAAGCAGTAGGAACACAGGGCGGTGTGGGCAGTGTCTGAGAGCAGAGTGACAGCCCACTGGCAGGGGCTTGAAATCTGTCCTTCTTGCTAGTCCTGAGACCTGGGGTGAGTTACTAAACACTGTGCGGGGCTGTTCCTGGTCATAAATGGGGACACCACAGAACCTGCCTCACAGGGTTGCTAAGAGGAGCAGTACCTGGGACAGTGCCCAGCACACAGCACCTTCTCAGTAAACGTGGCCAGGCTCCTGTGATGCAGATGGAGAAGAGCGGAAAGGAGTCCCTGAGCCCTGCCCGGGATAGTCAGGTGCTGCTCCAGACAGGAGGATGTCTCCAGGGGGCCACCACTCACAGAGAAGAGCTCACCCCAAAAACAGGAGGTGTGTGGCTCAGAGATGGAGAAGCAAGGCCACACGGAGGCAAGTGACAGCCATGAGGTCTATCAGTGAAAGAGGGGACTTCAGAGGAAACTGCTCAAGACCTTGATTGAACATGAATAAAGAATCAGGGATCAGGGATTTCTAAAGACCACACGGAAGGCTTGATCCAAGGGGGGCTATGGCTAGGGCAGAGGCTCCAACAGGGTGGGAGAGACTGGGCAGCTGGACAAACTAAGGATGGAGGTGGGGGGGGAATCACTGGGGATAACTTCTGGGTGAGGGGTCCTGGCTAAGCTGACCTGGCTGGATTCTTGCTGAAGGCAGGGCAGGGACAAGACCTGCTCTGGGGGGCAGACACCAAGGAGCCCACAGACACCCAGGACAGTCAACACCCAGGGTGGTGGCTCTCGCTACACTGCTCAGCCAGAATTTTGCTGAAACTGGACGATGCAGAGGTGACCACAGAAGGCCCTAAGTCAGGCCTGGTTTAAGAGGAGGATGGCCTGAGTGAAGTTTGGTCCATAGAGTCCTTGACCAGTGAGAAGGAGGTGGGAGGGAAGGGAGCCTTATGAAGACAGATCTGCCCAGGGGACATTGGGTGTCTTAGCAAAGCACCAGAGAGCTGGAGGCTTCACATACCATGGGAAGGTTGCTCCCTGCACCTCAGGGCATCTCTGACAGTCAGCACATACCACAGGAAGGACAAATGTGGGGCCCAGACAGGCCTACCCTGCTTAGACCCTTCCAGGCCTCGAGGATAGAATGCTGTGTCTGAGTCCCAAGGGGCCTGCCGGCACTCAGTCTGTCCATCACACATGTGGGGACAGTGCCCTCAGGTGGCACAGGGAGCAAGGTAGGAAGTAAGCCCCCCAGATTAGATCCAGGTGTTGTGGGAAATCAAAGGTAAAGAAGCTGGGCTTTCAGAGCACTGTGCTTGGGGCAGAGGACGTGATTGATGTGCTCCATGGGCCCCAATGTGAGGACCCTGTCCCTGGAAGGATCTCGCCCTGTTCAGAGCTCCCCAACCTCAGCCCAGGGACCCCTGGGAAATAAGGCTCAGTGGGCATCTCTTTGCCTTGTGTCTCTGGGTAACACTTGCTGAAAATATATCCTCAAGTGGGATGTGTGTCCAAACACTCACAGACACCAACACACACTCATACACACTCAAACATACACACTGAAACATACACACTCACACACACATACACACTCACACTCACCCTCTCACACTCACACACACACTCACACATACACACACTCACACAAACACTCACACTCACACATAACACACATTCCCACACACACATACACACACATTCACATATTCACACATACACACATTCCCACACACATACACACACATTCACATATTCACACATAAACACATTCACACACACATTCATTCACTCACACACATACACATACACATTCACACACACACACACTCACACACACACACTTGCAGCCTGGGATGGGATGAGCACGTCCCTGAGTGACCTCAGGGCAGCTTCTCTAAGGTGCATATGCTGAGGTCTTCCCTCCCCCTGGCTTGCTGTGACCCCCCCACCACACTCCCTTTCCATTCAAGCACCTGCTGAACACTTAGTGTGTGCGGATGCTGTCCGGGGACAGGCACAGCACCACCCCCAGCTGTCCCTGGCACCCCAGCACAGAGGCCCGCTGGCTCTGGGCAGCCTGGCTGTGGTGCCCCCTGCCTCAGAAGGAAGAGGAAATGGTGTACAAAGGGAAGTGAAACACAGCACAGTTGGGCCACGATGGGGCAAGCAGCTGCCCTGCTCCGTTAGTCCTGCAGGACTGGACAGTTCACAGGAAGGAAGCCAGGAATCGGCCTTCCCTGTGTCCATGCAGCCAGGGGCACCAGCCACAGATGTGCTGCAGTCCGGCTTCCTGGGGCCCAGGGGTGGGGTGTGGCCACTTCTCAGCTTCCATTTTCCCTGAAGGAAGCTGGGAGGAGACCAGGTACCAGGAAATGAGAGAAAACACAGTGAACCGGGGCGTTTGATGCAAGGTCCCCGGAACCTAGGTCTTCCCGGGTGACCCGCAGGCTGCCCTCCATGTAGGCAGCGGGCAGGGCGAAGCCCCAGCTCTGAGGAGCTGACGCCCCTTGCTCTCAGGATGCTCTAAGCACTGGTGTCGCAGTTTCACTAGCAGGAGAGCCTGGGGCCACCCGTGGTCAGGGAGGCCCAATTGGGTCCAGGTCTTCCCCCTCCTGACCAGCTTATGCTGCCCCTGCCTCCATCTAGGTCAGCCCAGAGCGCCAGGACCACAGGCTGAATCACTTCAGGGTCTACAAGGACATCACTCTGTACAAGGCCAAACTGTGGCTCCTGGGGGAGAAGGACCACCGCAAGTAGCGCTCCACAGAAGAGCCGGCCTTCGCGCTGAGCGCCCAGTGTGCTGTCCAGGGAAATAAAGGTGGTTTTGCTAGGAAGCAAACCTGCAGTGCACCTCATTTTACAGACCACAACCCCTTTATGTACAGTCCTAGGTTGGGCAGCAGTCGGACCAAGAATGGCTCAGAGGCCCCGCTTACCTCATGGTGGTGGCCTTGGCAGCCAAGGTGTTTGCAGTGCCCACAGGAAAGGGAAGCGAGGCCCAGGCAGTGCCGTGGGTCCAGCTGCCACCATCTGATTTGATGTGGGTGGAACATGGCCCCTGGGGTTGGCTGAGCTGCAGCTACATGTTAGGAAAGAGAGTCCCAGGTGTGCAGGCAGGTCAGGCTGCAGCTCAGGATACCTTCACGCCAAATTCACCCTGCCCAGGGGCAGCCGCCAGCCACACAACACTAGAAACCCAGGTCTGGCTTCTGCCCTGAGTCCCACTTTCTCATTTCTGCCCATATCCATGGTTCTGCCATCGGGAGACTCCCAGGTGGAGACCCAGACCAGGGCGTAGTGGTGACCTCTGTCTTCCCAGACACCAAGGAAAGGTGATAAAGGGACTTATTGATAACAGCCTGCACAGGACCCAGGCTTACAATAGGCCCTGGTCCACTCCTCCACCAGTGGGGCTAAAGCCCACCAGAGAGTAGCCTCTGGCACAGAACCACCCCTTCCAACCAGCAGACTACCACAGGAGGTCAAGCCCTGCAGCCCAGATCCACCCACACTGCCCCTGTGTGGGGACAAGGTTCACAGTAGGCCTGGGGCCTCCCCTCCACCAGCAGGCACTGGCCAGAGCCCAGCTTCTAGCATAGGACCACCTCTTCGAACCAGCAGACTACCACAGGAGTCAGACCCAGCCCAGATCTGTCCACACCGATTTGACTTACTCAGGACCCAGGTTCAGGGTAGGTCCAAGCTCGTGCCCCATCCCCTTCCAGCCTAAGCCTAATTGACTTCTATCTTGGGGCACTGCAGTCATCACCATAGCCTTCCCCACACAATACCCCCCCTACCTTTTTGAAAACAGACAGGGCCTTCAAGCAGCTGTATCTCAGAGCAGGCATCCCAAAGAGTGTGAGGCCCCCCTTTCAGCCCCATCTCTGTAAGATATTGCTTCCATCTGGGGCACTGCAACTATTATCTCTGCTATTGCCTCCACCAACCTTAGAGGCAGTAGCATACACTGAGGGACACCAGCAGGGTCTAGAAGCCCAACATCAAGGTGAGGTACAGACAATTTCCACAGGTATTACAAGAATATAGGGAAAAAACTATAATATCTCAGATTCATGCTGCAAGAAAGGAAGACACATAGACAACATGAAAAAAAAAAAAAAACAAGGGAAGAAAGTGTCCCAAACAAACCAGGACACTATAATAACAGAAGCCATGGGACAGGGAAGTTGATGAAATGTCAGAGGAGGAGTTCAGAAGGTTCATAATTAAAATGATCTGTGAATTAAACAATGACCTAAATGAGCAAATATAGGCAAAAAATTGATCACTCCAAAAAAGAGAGAGTAAATACAGGTAGCAAAGGATTATTTTGAGAGAGAGAGACTCTGAAAAAAAAACAAATCTTTGAAATTAAGGATAGAATAAAAACTCAATAGAAAGCATAACCAACAGACTAGATCACTTGGAAAAAAAAAAAAGGACGTCAGATAATGAAGACCAAGTATATAATCTGGAAAGTAAAGTTGATCACACAGTGAAGAAAGTTAGAAACCATGAACAGAACACACAAGAATTATGAGACAGCATCAAAAGACCAAATCTAAGAGTTATTGGGATAGAGGAAGGCACAGAGTTTCATACCAAAGGAATGCACAATCTCTTCAATGAGACATCAGAAAATTTCCCAAGCATAAAGAACAAATTGGGAAACCAAATACAAGAGGCTTACAGGACACGAAATGTACAAAATTACAACAGATCTACACCAAGGCACATTATAATGAAAACGCCTAGCATACACAAGAAGGATAGAATCTTAAAGCCGCAAGAGAGAGGAATCAAATCACATATAGGGGGAGACCAATTTGTATCTCAGTAGATTTTGTATCCCATACTCTCAAAACCAGGAGATCATGGAACAATATATACCAAGCCCTGAAAAAAAGGATGCCAACCAAGAATCTTATATCCAGCAAAACTAAGCTTTAGATTTGATGGTAAAATAAAAACCTTCCATGATAAAAGTTAAAAGAATTTACAAGTAGAAAGCCTGCACTATAGAACATCCTCAGCAAAATATTCCAAGAACAGGAAATGAAAAACAATGATGAAAATCATAAGAGGGAGAGATTACACTAAAGGAAAATCTAATCAGAGGAGAAACCAAGTCAAATACCAAAAAAAAAAAAAAAAAACAAGAATGGCTGGGAATACAAATCATGTCTCAATAATAACCCTGAATGTTAATGGCCTAAACTCACCAATCAAAAGACCTAGACTAGCAGATTGTATTAAAAAAAAGACCCAACAATATGCTGCCTCCAAGAGACTCATCTCATAGGAAAAAAACATCCACAGACTGAAGGTGAAGGATTGGGAAAAATCATACCACTCACATGGACTGCGGAAGCAAGCAGGGGTTTCTATCCTCATATCAAAAAAAGTAGACTTCAAACTAAAGTCAATCAAAAAGGATAAAGAAGGACACTATAGACTGCTCAAGGGAACCATACACCAACAAGACTTAATAATTATAAATATATATGCCCCAAACAATGGAGCATCCACATTCATCAAACAAACTCTTCTCAAGTTCAAGAGTCAAATAGACCACAATACAATAATTTTGGGTGACTTTAACTTAGCTCTTTCATCACTAGATAGATCTTCCAAACAAAAGCTGAACAAAGAAACTATAAAACTCAATAATACAATCAATAACTTAGACCAACTGACATATATAGAATATTTCATCTTTCAACGAGTGAATACACTTTCTTCTCAGCAGCACATGGATCCTTCTCTAAAATAGACCATATATAATGCCACAAGACAACTCTTAGCAAATATAAAAAAGTAGAGTTACTACTTTGCATTCTATAAGATCATATTGGAATGAAATTAGAAATCAATGATAAAATAAGTCCCAGGCCAACATCATACTAAATGGAGAAAAATTGAAGGCATCCCCTCTAAAAACTGGAACAAGACAGGGATGCCCTCTCTCACCACTTCTATTTAACATAGTTCTTGAAACTCTAGCCAGAGCAATTAGACAGATGAAAGAAATTAAAGGGATAATTATAAGAAAAGAAGAACTCAAACTGGCACTATTTGCTGCTGATATGATTCTATACCTAGAAGACCCTAAAATTTCACCAGAAAACTTCTATAACTAGTAAATGAATTCAGCAAAGTAACAGGAAGTAAAATCAGCATCCATAAATCAAAGGCATTTCTGTATAACAGTGATAAATCCTCAGAAAAGGAAAACTACCCTACCCCATTTACAATAGCCTCAAAAAATAAAATATTTGGGAATCAACAAAAGAGGTGAAAGATCTACATAATGAAAATTACAGAACCCTAAAGAAAGAAGTCAAAGAAGACCTTAGAAGATAGAAAGATCTACCTTACTCTTGAATAGACAGAATTATTATTATCAAAATGGTCATACTTCCAAAAGCAATATACAGATTTAATGCAATTCCAATCAAAATCCCAATGACATTTCTCATAGAAATAGAAAAGGCAATCATGAAATTCATCTGGAAAAATAAGAGACCCAGAATAGCTAAAGCAATCCTTAGCAGGAAGAGTGAAGCAGGTGGCTTCACTATACCAGACCTTAAACTATACTATAGAGTAATATAACAAAAACAGCATGATATTGGCACCAAAACAGACTGGTAGACCAATGGTACAGAATAGAGGACACAGAGACAAACCCACAAAATTATAATTATTTTATATTAGACAAAGGTGCCAAGAACATGCATTGGAGAAAAAACAGCATCTTCAACAAATGGTGCTGGGAAAACTGGAAATCCTTGTGCAGAAAAATTAAATTAAAACCCTATCTTTCACCATGCACAAAACTCAATTCAAAATGGATCAAGGACTTAGGAATAAAACCAGAGACCCTGTGTCTAATAGAAGAAAAAGTAGGCACTAATCTCCATCATGTGGGATCAGGCCCCAACTTCCTTAATAAGCTCCTTTGATGCAAGAATTAAAATCAAGAATTAATAAATGGGATGGACTCAAACTAAAAAGTTTCTTCTCAGGAAAAGAAACAATCTGTGAGGTAAACAGAGAGCCTACATCTTGGCAGCAAATTTTTACTCCTCATACATCAGATAGAGCACTAATCTCTAGGATATATAAAAAAAACTCAAAAAGTTAACCACCAAAAAACTAAATAACCCAATCAATAAATTGACCAAGGACCTGAACAGACACTTCTCAGAAGATGATACACAATCTATCAACAAATATATGAAAAAATGTTCATCATTGCTAGCAATTAGAGAAATGCAAATAAAACTACTCTAAGATTTCACCTCATTCCAGTCAGAATGGCAGCTATTATGAGTACAAACAACAATAAGTGTTGGAGAGGCTGTGGGGGAAAAGGCACACTCATACATTGCTGGTGGGACTACAAACTAGTGCAACCAATATAGAAAGAAGTATGGAGATTTCTTGGAAAACTGGGAATGGAGCCACCATTTGACCCAGCTATCCCTCTCCTTAGTCTATACCCAAAAGACTTTAAAACAGCATACTACAGGGACACAGCCACATCAATGTTTACAGCAGCACAATTCACAAAATTAAACTGTGGAGCCAACCTAGATGCCCTTCAGTGGATGAATGAATGAATAAAAAAATGTGGCATTATTACTCAGCAATAAAAGAGAATAAAATCATGGCATTTGCAGGTAAATGGATGAAGCTAGAGAAGATAATGCTAAGTGAAGTTAGCCAATCCCCAAAAACCAAATGCCAAATGTTTTCCTTGATACAAGGAGGCTGATTCATAGTGGGGTTGGGAGGGGAAGCATGGGA